GAGACGCCCAGAGAATCCGCTAAGACAGGCGTGCACTACGCGAACGCCAGATGTAAACACTGGATAGAGAAGGATTAGGAGAGAAAAGTGGTGTTAGAGAGGGTGTGAGGGAGGTGGAAAGGAGGTCGAGTGAGGGAGGAAGGATGCTGGGGAATGCTAGGGTGAGGGAGAGAGTCGGGGAGGAGGTAAGGAGAGAGAGAGAGAAAGACAGATAAGATAGGACAAGAGTGACAAGGAAGACAGAACAAGAGAGAAAGAGAAAGACGGAGACAGACAAAGGGAGAGAAAGGGAAATGAAAAAGATAGAAGAGCAAGAATGCCCAAACTTAAAGAATTTCGTATGAAGGAACCAAGTCTGGAGAAATGTCTGGTATGAAGGCTGGAACTAGAAAGAGGGAGTCAATAAAATATGGTGAGCAGAGTGAGACGAAAAGAAAAGGAAGTTTTTTAACCAAATTGAATACAACAGCAATGTCCTGCTACCGTGTTCTGAGTGACAGTCACACAGTGGCAACAATGACAGTCACACAGTGGCAACAATGACAGTCACACAATGGCAACAATGACAGTCACACAGTGGCAACAATGACAGTCACACAGTGGCAACAATGACAGTCACACAGTGGCAACAATGACAGTCACACAGTGGCAACAATGACAGTTACACAGTGGCAACAATGACAGTCACACAGTGGCAACAATGACAGTCACACAGTGGCAACAATGACAGTCACACAGTGGCAACAATGACAGTCACACAGTGGCAACAATGACAGTCACACAGTGGCAACAATGACAGTCACACAGTGGCAACAATGACAGTCACACAGTGGCAACAATGACAGTCACACAGTGGCAACAATGCTACCGAAGTTTCCCTGTCGTACACCAGCACGCAGAATACACCTCTTACAGGCTACTGATACATGACGGGCTAGACTGGAAAACTTCAGTAAGCAATGAGAAGAGTAACAAGCAGAAGTTATATATACAATATATATATATATATATATATATATATAATATATATATATATATATATATATATATATATTATATATATATATATATTTTATTATTATCACACTGGCCGATTCCCACCAAGGCACGGTGGCCCGAAAAAGAAAAACTTTCACCATCATTCACTCCATCACTGTCTTGCCAGAAGGGTGCTTTACACTACAGTTTTTAAACTGCAACATTAACACCCCTCCTTCAGAGTGCAGGCACTGTACTTCCCATCTCCAGGACTCAAGTCCGGCCTGCCGGTTTCCCTGAACCCCTTCATAAATGTTACTTTGCTCACACTCCAACAGCACGTCAAGTATTAAAAACCATTTGTCTCCATTCACTCCTATCAAACACGCTCACGCATGCCTGCTGGAAGTCCAAGCCCCTCGCACACAAAACCTCCTTTACCCCCTCCCTCCAACCTTTCCTAGGCCGACCCCTACCCCGCCTTCCTTCCACTACAGACTGATACACTCTTGAAGTCATTCTGTTTCGCTCCATTCTCTCTACATGTCCGAACCACCTCAACAACCCCTTCTCAGCCCTCTGGATAATAGTTTTGGTAATCCCACACCTTCTCCTAATTTCCAAACTATGAATTCTCTGCATTATATTCAAACCACACACTGCCTCCAGCCTTCTCCTCGTTGCAACATTCATCACCCATGCTTCACACCCATACAAGAGTGTTGGTACAACTATACTCTCATATATTTCTCTCTTTGCTTTCATGGACAAAGTTCTTTGTCTCTACAGACTCCTAAGTGCACCACTCACCCTTTCCCCTCATCAGTTATATATATATATATATATATATATATATATATATATATATAATATATATAATATATATATATATATATATATATATATATATATATATATTCGTAAATTGGAAATGTATAAATATGGGGTTATTTTCTGATTTTTGTTGTTAATAGAAACGATAAAGGAAAACAGAAAAATGTTTTGCAATACTGATTAATTTTAATTACGGCGTATAACAGGACATATCGTGGCGTATAACAGAACATATCGTGGCGTATAACAGGACATACAAGTTATAAAAACGAGCATATACAATTCCACACACATATATATATATCCTATAAAGCATATATAAAGCCTGGATACAATTAGTATATACCAAGAAATTCTTTTTAGCATTCAGTGATAGGGGGAGAGAGGGTAGCTTGATCCTGGTGAAGGACTCATGATCCAAGGAGTTAGAGCTGGTCTCCCGTTTCTTCGATCAAGCTTAATTACCTCCCGCTCTCGAGGCTCTGAATGATCCCCTCTCCTATGGTTTTAGCGCTTCCCATTGAATATAATTTTCATGACGATTTTATTATTATTATTAGTAGTAGTAGTAGTAGTAGTAGTATTAGTAGTAGAATAATTATCTTCATTGTTGTTGCTGTTGTTTTCATTAATAATAATAACATTATTATTTTTACTAGTAATAATAATAATAATAATAATAATAATAATAATAATAATAATAATAATAATAATAATAATAATAATAATAATAATAATAATAAGATTAAAACATAAACTCAAGGGATTTGACAGTCATGTGTTTGTTTGTTATTCTGCGAAGTCCACACACATAAAGAGGGGCCAGGAGCTGTAACTCGAACCCTGCAACCACATATACTTGAGTACACACACATACACTCACACAAACACACATACACAAAGCTGACAGCTTCAGCCCGTCAGCATTGCTAGCTGACAGATCCACCTTCGACTGAGATAAGCACCAACTCTGGGCTTATTTCCCCTGTGTGCAGACCCGTGGGGATGGAGGGAAGAAATGCTATTCACTGCATTTTCCATTTCCCTTTTTTTCCCTACCCTGGGAAAGTCTTCTGGGTGCTGGCGACGTCTCAAAGAGTTTACACAGATTGCCTTGGCGTTGGTCCTTTGGCGTCGTAGGGAGGGACGGGATGGTTGCGTCTGTGGGGTGGGACGGGATGCTGGCGTAGGTGGCGGTGGGACGGGTTGCTGGCGTCGATGGAAGTCGGACGGGATGCTGGCGTCGTTGGATGGGAAGGATGGGATGCTGGCGTCGGTGGGAGAGAGATGGGATGCTGGCGTCGGTGGGAGAGAGATGGGATGCTGGCGTCGGGGTTAATACGGCGTTCTTTTGGTCGGTCTGAGACAAGCAGGGTTCCGGATAGCTTAGGTTGAGCGGTTTGAATGACCCCAAACTTAGTTCACTCTAGTCAGTGAAAGTGAGAGCGAGAGAGAGAGAGAGAGAGAGAGAGAGAGAGAGAGAGAGAGAGTGGCCTGGTTTTCACTGTCTCCAGTGATCCTTCTTAACTATCCTTGCTTCACTTCTTGTCTTGATCCTTCGTATAAAATAGCATATTCTCTTTCCATCAAGACTCTAGCAGTAGACATTATCCTTCTCTGTAGACTCTAGCAGTAGACATTATCCTTCTCTGTAGACTCTAGCAGTAGACGTTATCCTTCTCTGTAGACTCTAGCAGTAGACATTATCCTTCTCTGTAGACTCTAGCAGTAGACATTATCCTCCTCTGTAGACTCTAGCAGTAGACATTATCCTCCTCTGTAGACTCTAGCAGTAGACATTATCCTCCTCTGTAGACTCTAGCAGTAGACATTATCCTCCTCTGTAGACTCTAGCAGTAGACATTATCCTCCTCTGTAGACTCTAGCAGTAGACATTATCCTCCTCTGTAGACTCTAGCAGTAGACATTATCCTCCTCTGTAGACTCTAGCAGTAGACATTATCCTCCTCTGTAGACTCTAGCAGTAGACATTATCCTCCTCTGTAGACTCTAGCAGTAGACATTATCCTCCTCTGTAGACTCTAGCAGTAGACATTATCCTCCTCTGTAGACTCTAGCAGTAGACATTATCCTCCTCTGTAGACTATAGCAGTAGACATTATCCTCCTCTGTAGACTCTAGCAGTAGACATTATCCTCCTCTGTAGACTCTAGCAGTAGACATTATCCTTCTCTGTAGACTCTAGCAGTAGACATTATCCTCCTCTGTAGACTCTAGCAGTAGACATTATCCTTCTCTGTAGACTCTAGCAGTAGACATTATCCTTCTCTGTAGACTCTAGCAGTAGACATTATCCTTCTCTGTAGACTCTAGCAGTAGACATTATCCTCCTCTGTAGACTCTAGCAGTAGACATTATCCTTCTCTGTAGACTCTAGCAGTAGACATTATCCTTCTCTGTAGACTCTAGCAGTAGACATTATCCTCCTCTGTAGACTATAGCAGTAGACATTATCCTCCTCTGTAGACTCTAGCAGTAGACATTATCCTCCTCTGTAGACTCTAGCAGTAGACATTATCCTTCTCTGTAGACTCTAGCAGTAGACATTATCCTCCTCTGTAGACTCTAGCAGTAGACATTATCCTCCTCTGTAGACTCTAGCAGTAGACATTATCCTTCTCTGTAGACTCTAGCAGTAGACATTATCCTCCTCTGTAGACTCTAGCAGTAGACATTATCCTCCTCTGTAGACTCTAGCAGTAGACATTATCCTCCTCTGTAGACTCTAGCAGTAGACATTATCCTTCTCTGTAGACTCTAGCAGTAGACATTATCCTTCTCTGTAGACTCTAGCAGTAGACATTATCCTCCTCTGTAGACTCTAGCAGTAGACATTATCCTCCTCTGTAGACTCTAGCAGTAGACATTATCCTCCTCTGTAGACTCTAGCAATACACATTATCCTTCTCTACAGTGTCTAACAGAAGGCGATGGTATCCCACTTTTGCATATCTAAACGGAGGATAGATCAGTCCAGGACTAAGTTAATAGATATATCCAAGACGTAGTTGATACACCTACCCAAGACACAGATGATGAATCTATGCAAGATAAACATGGTGACCCTGTTCAGGACGTACATGATACTTAGAGGATACGAAGCACCAACATCTATCATCCTCCACGATTTCACGTTTCTTCATTATTTCTCCTCTTCACTTCTTCTCCTTCTTCCTCCTCCTCCTCCTCCTCCTCCTCCTCCTCCTCCTCCTCCTCCTGCTAGGGGAACCTCCGAGCAATGAAGATAGAGGTCAGGCTTAGCAACCTCCATGGGGTGTTCAGCTCACATCCTGAGGAAGACATAAACAGGTGAATTTGCAGGGTATCAGGTGAAGGGTATCAGGTGAATAGTATCAGGTGAAGGGTATCAGGTGAAGGGTATCAGGTGAAGGGTATCAGGTGAATAGTATCAGGTGAAGGGTATCAGGTGAAGGGTATCAAGTGAAGGGTATTAGGTGAAGAGTATCAGGTGAAGGGTATCAGGTGAAGGGTATCAAGTGAAGGGTATTAGGTGAAGAGTATCAGGTGAAGGGTATCAGGTGAAGGGTATCAGGTGAAGGGTATCAGGTGAATAGTATCAGGTGAAGGGTATCAGGTGAAGGGTATCAAGTGAAGGGTATTAGGTGAAGAGTATCAGGTGAAGGGTATCAGGTGAAGGGTATCAAGTGAAGGGTATTAGGTGAAGAGTATCAGGTGAAGGGTATCAGGTGAAGGGTATCAGGTGAATAGTATCAGGTGAAGAGTATCAGGTGAAGGGTATCAAGTGGAGGGTATTAGGTGAAGAGTATCAGGTGAAGGGTATCAGGTGAAGAGTATCAGGTGAAGGGTATCAGGTGAATAGTATCAGGTGAAGAGTATCAGGTGAAGGGTATCAGGTGAAGAGTATCAGGTGAAGGGTATCAGGTGAATAGTATCAGGTGAAGAGTATCAGGTGAAGGGTATCAAGTGAAGGGTATTAGGTGAAGAGTATCAGGTGAAGAGTATCAGGTGAAGGGTATCAGGTGAAGGGTATCAGGTAAAACTTATTACATCTAGAAAAAATCCACAAATCGTAAAAAATATATAAAATATTATCATCTAGAACTCTAGAATTTATCTATAGAATCGAATAGGTAAAATTTGTGTTGCTTAAATAACAACGCTCTTCTTGCCGAATAAAGCAAGCGAAAATTATTCTGAACCTAAGGAAGAAAATATATTTCATTGTGTTTGTTTATTATTAAATTACTGTAAACTTATATCAAATATATTTAGTTGGATTAGGCTAAATTAAATTGCGCTTGTTATAATAAGGTCAGGTAAGTTTTCTAAGGTTCTTTTGGTACAAAATCATAATTTTTACACTAATTTTTACATAAATGAAAAAATATGTCTTTAAGTGTATAAGAGAAAATTTTAGAAAGACTTAATTTTAAATGAGCTTTTGCTAATTGACCATTTTTACCTATTCGGCACGATATATATATATATATATATATATATATATATATATATATATATATATATATATATATATATATATATTTTATTATCACACTGGCCGATTCCCACCAAGGCAGGGTGGCCCGAAAAAGAAAAACTTTCACCATCATTCACTCCATCACTGTCTTGCCAGAAGGGTGCTTTACACTACAGTTTTTAAACTGCAACATTAACACCCGTCCTTCAGAGTGCAGGCACTGTACTTCCCATCTCCAGGACTCAAGTCCGGCCTGCCTTCCCTGAACCCCTTCATAAATGTTACTTTGCTCACACTCCAACAGCACGTCAAGTATTAAAAACCATTCGTCTCCATTCACTCCTCTCAAACACGCTCACGCATGCCTGTTGGAAGTCCAAGCCCCTCGCACACAAAACCTCCTTTACCCCCTCCCTCCAACCTTTCCTAGGCCGACCCCTACCCCGCCTCCTTCCACTACAGACTGATACACTCTTAAAGTCATTCTGTTTCGCTCCATTCTCTCTACATGTCCGAACCACCTCAACTACCCTTCCTCAGCCCTCTGGACAACAGTTTTGGTAATCCCGCACCTCCTCCTAACTTCCAAACTACGAATTCTCTGCATTATATTCACACCACACATTGCCCTCAGACATGACATCTCCACTGCCTCCAGCCTTCTCCTCGCTGCAACATTCATCACCCATGCTTCACACCCATATAAGAGCGTTGGTAAAACTATACTCTCATACATTCCCCTCTTTGCCTCCAAGGACAAAGTTCTTTGTCTCCACAGACTCCTAAGTGCACCACTCACTCTTTTTCCCTCATCAATTCTATGATTCACCTCATCTTTCATAGACCCATCTGCTGACACGTCCACTCCCAAATATCTGAATATATATGTATATATATATATATATATATATATATATATATATATATATATATATATATATATATATATATATATAATATATATATATATATATTGGTTGTTCTGCATATGTGTGTATGTGTATAAATTATCTATATAAATCTTGAAAATATAAACATAAATCTATATATTACCAAGAGAAATTGGGAGGCTAGTTTTCACATTACAGATATAGCATAAATTAGGTATTATGCCGTTAAAAGTTCTCTAATTAATCTGTGCCTCATTAGGTATAGTAATTACTCCCTTACCTGAGAGCTAATTATATTTGAGGCATATTAAAAATGTTTGTATAAACACAAACTTGCAGGAGTGTCAGAAATATTTATATGATTTTAAGTCTTATTTTTACCAAGGATTTTGAGAATGTTCTGAGGGTCTGAAGAAGGTGTCTCAGAGACACGAGAAGTTCAGTATAGTGTTAATTTACGTATGGTTTTGGAAAGTGATTTTGATGTGTGTTTATCTATCAAAAAAATTTTTTTGAAAGCACATACCTAGCATCGAACTTTTCTGTCAACCCACCAACACTCTGCCACTGCCTCCACCCACCTGCGGAAGCGTACTGGTGGTTGAAAGCAGCGCTGGAGGCAGGCTGGAGGTAGACCTCCCTGGAGGCCGTGTTGGAGGATCGTCCTTCAACTATTGCCAGACAGGTCACCCTCGCCACATTGTTGGAGAAGTACTCAGGTGCTTTCCATCGTAAAGCCAAGGTAGAGGTCACTCTACCTCTCTTATCTTCCACGTCTGGGTACCTAATTAGGTTCATCTCTCGCGCCTGTCATGGTAGAAGTGTAGAAGTTGTAGTGATAGTAGTAGTAGTAGTGGTGGTGGAGGGAATAATAGTGGTGGTGGTGGCGGTGGTAGTAGTAGTGGTAGTAGTAGTGGTAGTAGTGATAGTATGAGTGGTAGTACTAGTGATAGTGGTGATAGTAATAGTAGTAGTGATAGTAGTTGCTGTACTAGTAGTGATAGTGTGGGTGGTAGTAGTAGTAGTGTTGTAGGTGGTAGTGGTATTAGTGACAGTGGAGGTGGTAGTAGTAGTAGTAGTAGTAGTAGTAGTAGTAGTAGTAGTAGTAGTAGTAATAATAGAAGCAGTAGTGGTAGTAGTGGTGACATAGAAAGAACATTTAACAAGACACACGAACAACAAACACACCCACACAAATACAGAAACAAACACAACAAACAAACACAACAAACAACACGTCATCAACAGTACGAAACCAAACAAAAAAAAAATATTTAGAACCTTTATGAAAAACTGATATAAAATGGTTGTTGTATTAACCAAAATTTATAAAGGAGTGGAGGAGTAAGCCAGCGGAAGGTCTCGGTCAGATGATCAAAACACCCCAGGCGTGGGTCATCATATGACAAAGACACTCATCAGGAAACACTTGTCCTGTTTCCTGACGAACATTATACCTACCTACGTAGGTAACGAGAGGTAGGTACCTATTCAGAGCCAGATGGAAAGCTGTTAGGAGTTAGTTATGAATATTTCTAGCTTTCTAACTTTGTCATTGTCTCACTGCAGTCGTAATGTTGTTTAATTAAGTTGTGTTAACTATATCAACAATTATTATAATTATTATATTTAAGGAACATTATTATTATTAATAATAAGGAGAACAGAACTAATGATGATGATGATGATTATGCTGATAATAATAATAATAATAATAATAATAATAATAATAATAATAATAATAATAATAATAATAATAATAATAATAATATTAAGAAGAAGAAGAAGAAAAAGAAGAAGAAGAAGAAAAGCAACAACAAGAAAGTAACAAATAATAATATTGATGATGATAATACTAATAATAATAATACTAATTACTAATAATAATAATAATACTAATAATAATAATAATAATAATAATAATAACAATAATAATAATAATAATAATAATAATAATAATAATAATAATAATAATAATAATCATACCCAAGACTCCCTCTCAACAATAATAAAGGAATATCTCACAGCTTTTCCATTTATTTGGAAGTGCAGGTTGGCCCTGGGTAGGGCGCCCCGGGCGGTGCAGTTGAGATGTATGGTGTCTCCTGCACGGTACATGGGCGGCTCTGGCACTCTCCATGATACTATCTCCACTTTCGTAGGTGGCACTGTGGGTGGGGGAGGCGCAGTGTCATGAGGTGGTGGTGGTGGTGTTGGTATGTGTAGTAGTATGTGTGTGTATGTTTCCGTGTATATATATATATATATATAATATATATATATATATATATATATATATATATATATATATATATAATATATATATGAACATATGCTATATTTTTTCATCTTCATATTTTACAAACTTTTCGGAATTTCAACACCATTTTCAGTGTGGTAATATAAAAAAATGATCAGGATGTATAGCTGTTTTGCAAAAAAAATAAAAAAAAAATTAAAAAAAATTATGGAATTTAAGCAAATCACTGATACACAGCTTAAAGTTAACGTGCAACAACCAGCTTAGCTCATTCTTTAAAATAATCCACTAATTCTCACGCATTAGAGAATTACATTCAACGAATGAACAGCTGCGTGTGTGGAATGAACAGCTGCGTGTGTGGAATGAACAGCTGCGAGTGTGGAATGAACAGCTGCGTGTGTGGAATGAACAGCTGCGTGTGTGGAATGAACAGCTGCGTGTGTGGAATGAACAGCTGCGTGTGTGGAATGAACAGCTGCGTGTGTGGATTGAACAGCTGCGTGTGTGAATTGAACAGCTGCGTGTGTGGATTGAATAGCTGCGTGTGTGAAATGA